GGCCTTCAACATCAAGAAAGACCCATATCGTATAGTCAGTTATAATAAAAGGCCCCGACATGAGAAATGTAAAACAATTTAAACGAGAAACTAACGGCCTTATGTATACTATACAATCTACGAAAAACAAATATTACAGACACGAACTAACGACATCAAAACAAATTAATTAGGAATTTCTGTCCTCACAATTTGATTATTTCAAAACTTTTAACTAGAATATGCCCTGTATTGAAAATGTTTAAGACTGTAAAAGAAGTATAAATGAAAATGCATACACTGTTTAGTACGGGCAGCATTTGACATTTCGTGACGATGAAAAAGATAAAAACAGTATTGTGCGTATTGCTATGTGTTTGTTTATTCTACATTGGCTAGAGGTATAGGGGGAGGGTTGAGATCTCACAAAACATGTTTAACCCCACCGCATTTTTGCGCCTGTCCCAAGTCAGGAGCCTCTGTCCTTTGTTAGTCTTATATGTTTTTTAATTTTAGTTCATTTATATGTTTTGGAGTTTAGTGTGACGTCCATTTTCACTGAACTAGTACACAATTTTATTTAGGGGCCAGCTGAGGAACACCTCCGGGTGCGGGATTTTCTCGCTGCGTTGAAGACCCATTGGTGGACTTCGGCTGTTGTCTGCTCTTTGGTCGGGTTGTTGTCTCCTTGACATATTCCCCATTTCCATTCTCAATTTTAGTATTAAATTTTGAAACTAATGTGCAATATAACTGTAGTTATAAACATAAGAATAAATGGTATAATTGCCAATGAGACAATTCTTCAAAAGAGACCAAATGACACAGTAATTAACAACTAGAGGTCACCATACGGCCTTCAACAATGAGTAAATCCAGTATCGTAATGTATGAATTTCATTTTGCGTAATAAATTCTGCTATGTGGAAGTATTAATTTTATTTTTGAACTAACAATATAACTAATGGACAATGGTAGAAGATAAGTAAGAGTTTCATAGTATATCACCCGAAAGTTGAAAAAAGGAGAAAAACACAGTCACCATTGTTTCTCATATTGCGACATAAGATAAAATTGTTCTTTTTGATCACTTTTCTTTATATAATTATCAAGTCCTCTACATTCTCTGCTATGGACAAATTGTTTCCCTATAAGAATTAGTTTTTGATAAGTTTAACCTTAACATATCTTCATGGTCCTTGCCATACCTGGAATCTGTCAATGGTAATCAGGGTTGTCATTTGCCATTTTTTAATGGTTTTATTCATATTTAGTGAATTTAGTGTTGTTGTTAGTTTTGTCAATGTCTCTATTTCAGCTATTTGGGATTTCTAAAATGACTACATAAGCTATTTTGTGTTGTTGGGGTGTCTTCAACCTATGCCAACATTTGATAAATTTATATTCAACCTATGCCTACATCCAAAATACAATAGGTGTTGTTATAACACTTATTAATTACTAACAGGTAAAATACAGTCAGTATATTTAAGCTTTGAATATTAACTCTTTTAAAAATTAGAAACAAAAAGTATTTGCAAAATTGTGTTCAGTGAAGTTAAAATGAATTTATTAAAAAAAATCTAAAAAGGAAAAAATGTTAAAATAGAACACTTGAAACTAGCAAAATTGTGTTGAATTAAATACTAAATTAATAACAAAAAAATAGACAAAATTTTTAAAATTGAACACTTGTATATATATAATATTTGAGAATTAAAGTAAGCAAGCTATTTCTTTTGTGAATTTTTATGATAACTTTTGTTCATTATTTTTTTATATTAAATATGAAACATGCTACAAACAAGCAACAAAATATACAAAAATACCATACTTTAACATTTTTTTTTTAAATCAAATTAATTTTGCAATATGAAATTTAAAATAAATATCAAATAAAATGATTTTTTTTAATTTATTTATTACACGGCGGCTTTCCAGTGGGACAGTGCGCCCTTTGATTAATTAGTTTGACTTCAGGAAAAAATACTCTGTGTGGCAAATACACAGTTTGATATTCAGTTTGTCACCAATAGATAAAAGTCTAATCCACAATGGATACCAGTAGGGCATCGGTGGCCGGGTGGTCTAAGTAGTCAAAATTACTGTATCACTAGCCTGTCAACACTGAGGTTGTAAGCATCCATAACTTCCATGCTTTTGTCGACAGAGCCATCATATTATTGGTAAAACTACTGAAGAAACAGCAAGTAGCTACAGAGTTAAGAATAATCCAGAACTCAGCAGGTGGTAAACATCGTCAAAGAAAGTACATTGAAAATGACAACAGGCTAGCTGGCCTAAACTGGAGACTCTAGGATGACAACATGACACCAGTTGAGTGTGCAGATGCATCATCATAATTATCTTCTACATATAAATTAGTGCCACCGAGGCCCTATTGGTATCCATTGTGGATTAGACTCTAATCTATTGGTGACAAACTGAATATCTAACTGTGCATTTTTCATACTGACTTGCGAATGATGGAATTTCAAATTACAAATTGGCGACACAAAATGTAACCACAAATCTCACATCTCAGTTTAATAAATAAAAACAAACACAGAGTACTTTTTCTAAAGTAAAAGAAAGTAAACAAAGGGCGCACTGTCCCACTGGAAAGCCGCCGTCTAACAAATGAAGAAACACAATCATTTTATATAACATTTTTTTTAAATTTCATATTACAAAATTAATTTGATTTAAAAAAAAAGTTTTTGTAAAAGTATAGTATTTTTGTAAATTTTTTCTCAAGTCTTATATATTATATATATATATATATATATATATATATATCTGCTCTTTGGTCGGGTTCTTGTCTCTTTGACATATTCCCCATTTCCATTCTCAACTTTATTTTATAGGTGTTCAATTATAGAATTTTTGTCTATCTTTTTATTATTAATTTAGTATCTAGACAACAATTTTGCTAGTATCAGGTGTTCTATTTGATACCTACATTACCTACATTTTCACCAGTATGTGAAAAAAAAATGGCATAGAGTACACTTTAACGCTAAGTTTAAACTGGTTGTAAATTGATTAGACCTTAATCAATTTATGTCTTTATAACACTTAATCTGTAACAAATTATTCAACCTATGCTAACATTTTTTCATACAATTTTATACCTAAATTTCAAAATGTTGGCATAGGTTGAATGATGTTGTTGTTGGATTCATGTCTCGTTGATTTATACCTCTATCTCCTCTTATTCACATTTATTTCCAAGTAATGTTGGTGACATAATCATTTTGTTAGTATTTTTTATAGGAATTGTATACAGGTCGAAGCAAATAATATATTTGAAATTCTTCCTTGACACATATAAAGCCTTTAATATATATTGTTCTGATCATGCAGTCAGCACTTAAAAGGATATTTATTTTTATAAGAAACAATTAAATATTATTTAAACGAAATAATCAAAGTGTACATACGTATTGCGAAAGAATATTTTGTTAATTACAACACACACAACTTGATTTAAAAACTTACTTTTCATTGCTTCATATTTTACTGGATAATCAGAGTTTCATGGAAGTCGCATATTGAGTGCAACTTTCTATACGAAACCATCTTGTTGAAAACCTTGTTACTGTAATAATTTAACATAAATCCTGAGTTTTCAACACACTAATTTTTTTGTCGAGAAGAAAACATTCAAATGGAAAAAATGTTCTCATTGTGAATCATATATTCTTATGGGGGGAAAAATTGTTCAAACTTTAAGAATCTATATCATTTAACTTTACATCAAGGTATGATGAAGATGTTCTTTCCATTAACAATACAAACTTTCCTGCTGGGTCCAATTAATAGTCCTGAACTAGAGATTACAGACACCATATATACAGCTTCATCGGCCTCTTTTTTAGAAATTTTAAATTGCCCTCACCTTAGAAGCAATTTACCAAATTCATCCACGTATGAATACAACTCATACGATATTCAGGAGCTTGCAGCTGCTACTCAGAATTTATAAAACAAACGTCTGAGCTAAACGTTAATGGGCCAGGGTTTTGTCTTTTTTCTCAAAAAGTTCATTGGGAAGTACCAAGACCTAATAGATAAATTTCAGGGTTTACTTCAGAAATAATACAGGATGGTATTGAGTTATAGACCCTAGGTGTTGACTCTGTATAGCATTTTATCTACTTTACAGTTTTACCTTTAATTGTCTTTGTACTATTCCATGTGGTCGTATGACTCTTGACGTGGTTCGTGCATTCACCTTTCATGTTTTTGGCTTTTGGCGTTCCTTACGCCAATGGGACCAGAGATTCGATTCGAACACATGAGATTTTTATAGTGTTGTTTTCATTTACCATGTATTTATATTTTACTTATTTTGTATTTTATCGGGAAAGTGTACCCGATCTTTCACGGTCCGAAATATCAAATCTTTACAAATATGAGTTCCATCATGGGGTTATCCAAGTAATGACATAATCACAAATTTTTTTGCCAATATAATCACATAATCATTAATTATTTTTTTAAATAAGATAATCAAATAATAAAAAATACAGTCCTAGATTATCAAATAATCATGAAATATTTGGTCTGGTAATCAAATGATCACTACAAAAACGGCCAAGTAATCACATAATCAAAAACCACATGAGGAGGCTCAAATATGTTTGCAAAGTTTCTGATTCAACTAAAACTAAATGACTTTAAGAACCATTTTAAACTGTTATATGGAACAATGTTTTTATGCATTCGAAATATAACAGCAAATCCTGTTTGTTTAAATTTTTATTTCTTCGAAACTTCGTGGAAGAATCTACCTTTTGTAGTTTTGTAAAATATGGGGTAAAAGTCCGAGTCAGCCTTTTCTCGTCATTTTTTAAAAATTAAATATCTCGAAAAGGAGTTCCATGACCTATCAATATTTTTAGCTTATTATGTTCCTTAACTAATGCTCTTCTGACTTGTAGTATCAATTCAAAATTCTAGATTTTTTTAATTTCACCTAAGTACATCCTTAAGATGTAAATGTATTTTCTCTTTAAGTACCAATCTGCCTAAGAATCAGGCAGTGATGAAAACATGACAAACACAAAACCCACTCAGCTTTACGTTTATTCAAGTTCAGAATGTATAATGGTGCATGAATATAACATTCGTTTACTTTCCCTGTTCTGGTAATTCAAGATATAATTTGGTTGAAATGCACTAGAAAATAACAATTAGGGGGAGATAACTCCGTAATTTGCTATCATTCTCACCATTATTTATCTAGATATTTCTCGAATTACCAGACACGCAGAAACGAAAGACCTACCATTTCAAACTCAGGATGAGGGTACCTTCAAAATAGGGTGGTTAGGTTGGTGTGTTTTTTCGCCCATGTTTTGATTTTTTTCTAAATTGCCCGATTCTTACAAAGACTGGCACTTAATTTGTTTACCTTGTGTCTCATCCGTAGAGAGTTACTATTCTGTTTCTCATTAGTCATCGAATTATCATTCCAAATACAGAAAAAGGAGAAATATAACGTTTTGTATCTACTACATGCGCAATTAAAATGAAGGAGATATTGAATATACGTCCATCAGACAGCAACACAACAACAGAAAATACATACGATATGATTTTAATCTATCTGATTGTCATTACCGCGGAAGAAATATCACTAAGTACAACGCATCCTATTACTATAGTGATTACAGCTACACCAATCATTCCTAATCTTTTCGCTGACGTACGGTCATCGGGAGCGCTTGTCCGTTTACGTATCGCCCTAGACAAACTGGTGACATCTACCATCATATCATTTCTAATTTCATCTAACTGTGGTGCTAAGAATTGTTGCAATTCGTGAAGAGTATAATTATGTTGTTGTTGTTTGCATGTGCATGTACAAGTTGTAGTAGAAGATGTTGAGCTATGATCTGTTGGAATAGTGGTTGTTGATAGGATTGCTGCTGTTGATGGGATTGTTGTTGTTGGTGGAATTGTTGTTGTTGTTGTTGGGATTGTTGTTGTAGTTGTAGAACTTGTTGTTGTTGTTGGGATTGTTGTTGGTGGAATTGTTGTTGTTGTTGGGATTGTTGTTGTAGTTGTATAACTTGTTGTTGTTGATGGGATTGTTGTTGTAGTTGTAGAACTTGTTGTTGTTGTTGGGATTGTTGTTGGTGGAATTGTTGTTGTTGTTGGGATTGTTGTTGTAGTTGTAGAACTTGTTGTTGTTGTTGGGATTGTTGTTGGTGGAATTGTTGTTGTTGTTGGGATTGTTGTTGTAGTTGTAGAACTTGTTGTTGTTGGGATTGTTGTTGTAGTTGTAGAACTTGTTGTTGTTGTAGTTGTAGAACTTGTTGTTGTTGATGGGATTGTTGTTGTAGTTGTAGAACTTGTTGTTGTTGATGGGATTGTTGTTGTTGATGGAATTGTTGTTGTTGATGGGATTGTTCTTGTTGTTGTAGAAATTGTTGTTGTTGATGGGATTGTTGTTGTTGGTGGGATTGGTTTAGGTGATGGAATTTTTGTTGTTGAAGGAATTTTTGTTGTAGGAATTGGTCCTATATTTATTTGTAGAGATATGACCCTCTTTTTTCGTACTCGTCGTTGTCTTTGGAATAGATTTACTGTCTGAATGGTTTGTTGTTTATGACTGACTGTTGTTTTTGGAATGGTTGTTAGTGTAGAAATGATTGCCGATTTAAGATCGGTTGATGTTGTTGTTGTAAACGTACTTGTCGATGAAATGGCTATGGCTGTAGGTATGGTTGTTATTTTACGATTGGTTGTTTCAGGAATGGCTGTAGTTGTTGAAATTGCTGTTTGTGTATGAATTTCTATTGGTTTAGAAATAATTGTTGTAGAAGTACTGACTGTTGCTGTAGGATTGGCTGTTGTTCCAAATTTTGACTTTGAGAATTTGTCTACAATAATAAAAATGCATCAGTTAAAACAAGAAAGCTTTCGTAATAGGAGTTATCACAGGAAGAGGAATACGATAGAGGGATATTACAAGTTAGAGAAGTAGTTGTAGTAGCTTGAGGAGGGAGAGTAGAAGTATATTGTAGAAGTTAGAAAAGTAGTTGTAGTTGCATGAGGAGGGAGAGTAGAAGTATATTGTAGAAGTTAGAGAAGTAGTTGTAGTAGCATGAGGAGGGAGAGTAGAAGTATATTGTAGAAGTAAGAGACGTAGTTGTAGTAGCCTAAGGAGGGAGAGTAGAAGTATATTGTAGAAGTTAGAGAAGTAGTTGTAGTAGCATGAGGGGGAGTAGAAGTTAGAGAAGTAGTTGTAGTAGCATGAGGAGGGAGAGTAGAAGTATATTGTAGAAGTTAGAGAAGTAGTTGTAGTTGCATGAGGAGGGAGAGTAGAAGTATATTGTAGAAGTTAGAGAAGTAGTTGTAGTAGCATGAGGAGGGAGAGTAGAAGTATATTGTAGAAGTTAGAGAAGTAGTTGTAGTAGCATGAGGAGGGAGAGTAGAAGTATATTGTAGAAGTTAGAGAAGTAGTTGTAGTTGCATGAGGAGGGAGAGTAGAAGTATATTGTAGAAGTTAGAGAAGTAGTTGTAGTAGCATGATGAGGGAGAGTAGAAGTATATTGTAGAAGTTATAGAAGTATTTGCATGAGGAGGGAGAGTAGAAGTATATTGTAGAAGTTAGAGAAGTAGTTGTAGTAGCATGAGGAAGGAGAGTAGAAGTATATTGTAGAAGTTATAGAAGTATTTGCATGAGGAGGGAGAGTAGAAGTATATTGTAGAAGTTAGAGAAGTAGTTGTAGTTGCATGAGGAAGGAGAGTAGAAGTATATTGTAGAAGTTATAGAAGTATTTGCATGAGGAGGGAGAGTAGAAGTATACTGTAGAAGTTAGAGAAGTAGTTGTAGTAGCATGAGGAGGGAGAGTAGAAGTATATTGTAGAAGTTAGAGAAGTAGTTGTAGTAGCATGAGGAGGGAGAGTAGAAGTATATTGTAGAAGTTAGAGAAGTAGTTGTAGTTGCATGAGGAGGGAGAGTAGAAGTATATTGTAGAAGTTAGAGAAGTAGTTGTAGTTGCATGAGGAGGGAGAGTAGAAGTATATTGTAGAAGTTATAGAAGTATTTGCATGAGGAGGGAGAGTAGAAGTATATTGTAGAAGTTAGAGAAGTAGTTGTAGTAGCATGAGGAGGGAGAGTAGAAGTATATTGTAGAAGTTAGAGAAGTAGTTGTAGTTGCATGAGGAGGGAGAGTAGAAGTATATTGTAGAAGTTATAGAAGTATTTGCATGAGGAGGGAGAGTAGAAGTATATTGTAGAAGTTAGAGAAGTAGTTGTAGTAGCATGAGGAGGGAGAGTAGAAGTATATTGTAGAAGTCAGAGAAGTAGTTGTAGTAGCATGAGGAGGGAGAGTAGAAGTATATTATAGAAGTCAGAGAAGTAGTTGTAGTTGCATGAGGAGGGAGAATAGAAGTATATTGTAGAAGTTAGATAAGTAGTTGTAGTAGCATGAGGAGGGAGAGAAGAAGTATATTGTAGAAGTTAGAGAAGTAATTGTAGTAGCATGAGGAGGGAGAGTAGAAGTATATTGTAGAAGTTAGAGAAGTAGTTGTAGTAGCATGAGGAGGGGGAGTAGAAGTATATTATAGAAGTCAGAGAAGTAGTTGTAGTTGCATGAGGAGGGAGAGTAGAAGTATATTGTAGAAGTTAGAGAAGTAGTTGTAGTAGCATGAGGAGGGAGAGTAGAAGTATATTGTAGAAGTTAGAGAAGTAGTTGTAGTAGCATGATGAGGGAGAGTAGAAGTATATTGTAGAAGTTAGAGAAGTAGTTGTAGTTGCATGAGGAGGGAGAGTAGAAGTATATTGTAGAAGTTAGAGAAGTAGTTGTAGTAGCATGAGGAGGGAGAGTAGAAGTATATTGTAGAAGTTAGAGAAGTAGTTGTAGTAGCATGAGGGGGAGTAGAAGTATATTGTAGAAGTTAGAGAAGTAGTTGTAGTAGCATGAGGAGGGAGAGTAGAAGTATATTGTAGAAGTTATAGAAGTATTTGCATGAGGAGGGAGGGTAGAAGTATATTGTAGAAGTTAGAGAAGTAGTTGTAGTTGCATGAGGAGGGAGAGTAGAAGTATATTGTAGAAGTTAGAGAAGTAGTTGTAGTAGCATGATGAGGGAGAGTAGAAGTATATTGTAGAAGTTATAGAAGTATTTGCATGAGGAGGGAGAGTAGAAGTATATTGTAGAAGTTAGAGAAGTAGTTGTAGTAGCATGAGGAAGGAGAGTAGAAGTATATTGTAGAAGTTATAGAAGTATTTGCATGAGGAGGGAGAGTAGAAGTATATTGTAGAAGTCAGAGAAGTAGTTGTAGTAGCATGGGAAGGGAGAGTAGAAGTATATTGTAGAAGTTAGAGAAGTAGTTGTAGTAGCATGGGAAGGGAGAGTAGAAGTATATTGTAGAAGTCAGAGAAGTAGTTGTAGTTGCATGAGGAGGGAGAGTAGAAGTATATTGTAGAAGTTAGAGAAGTAGTTGTAGTTGCATGAGGAGGGAGAGTAGAAGTATATTGTAGAAGTTAGAGAAGTATTTGCATGAGGAGGGAGAGTAGAAGTATATTGTAGAAGTTAGAGAAGTAGTTGTAGTTGCATGAGGAGGGAGAGTAGAAGTATATTGTAGAAGTTAGAGAAGTAGTTGCATGAGGAGGGAGAGTAGAAGTATATTGTAGAAGTTAGCGAAGTATTTGTAGTTGCATGAGGAGGGAGAGTAGAAGTATATTGTAGAAGTTAGAGAAGTAGTTGTAGTTGCATGAGGAAGGAGAGTAGAAGTATATTGTAGAAGTTATAGAAGTACTTGCATGAGGAGGGAGAGTAGAAGTATATTGTAGAAGTTAGAGAAGCAGTTGTAGTTGCATGAGGAAGGAGAGTAGAAGTATATTGTAGAAGTTATAGAAGTATTTGCATGAGGAGGGAGAGTAGAAGTATACTGTAGAAGTTAGAGAAGTAGTTGTAGTAGCATGAGGAGGGAGAGTAGAAGTATATTGTAGAAGTCAGAGAAGTAGTTGTAGTAGCATGAGGAGGGAGAGTAGAAGTATATTGTAGAAGTTAGAGAAGTAGTTGTAGTAGCATGAGGAGGGAGAGTAGAAGTATATTGTAGAAGTTAGAGAAGTAGTTGTAGTAGCATGAGGAGGGAGAGTAGAAGTATATTGTAGAAGTTAGAGAAGTAGTTGTAGTAGCATGAGGAGGGAGAGTAGAAGTATATTGTAGAAGTCAGAGAAGTAGTTGTAGTAGCATGAGGAGGGAGAGTAGAAGTATATTATAGAAGTCAGAGAAGTAGTTGTAGTTGCATGAGGAGGGAGAGTAGAAGTATATTGTAGAAGTTAGATAAGTAGTTGTAGTAGCATGAGGAGGGAGAGAAGAAGTATATTGTAGAAGTTAGAGAAGTAATTGTAGTAGCATGAGGAGGGAGAGTAGAAGTATATTGTAGAAGTTAGAGAAGTAGTTGTAGTAGCATGAGGAGGGGGAGTAGAAGTATATTGTAGAAGTCAGAGAAGTAGTTGTAGTTGCATGAGGAGGGAGAGTAGAAGTATATTGTAGAAGTTAGAGAAGTAGTTGTAGTTGCATGAGGAGGGAGAGTAGAAGTATATTGTAGAAGTTATAGAAGTATTTGCATGAGGAGGGAGAGTAGAAGTATATTGTAGAAGTTAGAGAAGTAGTTGTAGTTGCATGAGGAGGGAGAGTAGAAGTATATTGTAGAAGTTATAGAAGTATTTGCATGAGGAGGGAGAGTAGAAGTATATTGTAGAAGTTAGAGAAGTAGTTGTAGTAGCATGAGGAGGGAGAGTAGAAGTATATTGTAGAAGTCAGAGAAGTAGTTGTAGTAGCATGAGGAGGGAGAGTAGAAGTATATTGTAGAAGTCAGAGAAGTAGTTGTAGTTGCATGAGGAGGGAGAGTAGAAGTATATTGTAGAAGTTAGATAAGTAGTTGCATGAGGAGGGAGAGTAGAAGTATATTGTAGAAGTGAGAGAAGTAGTTGTAGTAGCATGAGGAGGGAGAGAAGAAGTATATTGTAGAAGTTAGAGAAGTAATTGTAGTAGCATGAGGAGGGAGAGTAGAAGTATATTGTAGAAGTTAGAGAAGTAGTTGTAGTAGCATGATGAGGGAGAGTAGAAGTATATTGTAGAAGTTAGAAAAAAAGTAGTTGTAGTAGCATGAGGAAAGGAGTAGAAGTATATTATAGAAGTTAGAGAAGTAGTTGCATGAGGAGGGAGAGTAGAAGTATACTGTAGAAGTAAAAGAAGTAGTTGTAGTAGCATGAGGAGGGAGAGTGGAAGTATATTGTAGAAGTTAGAGAAGTAGTTGTAGTAGCATGATGAGGGAGAGTAGAAGTATATTGTAGAAGTTAGAGAAGTAGTTGCATGAGGAGGGAGAGTAGAAGTATACTGTAGAAGTAAAAGAAGTAGTTGTAGTAGCATGAGGAGGGAGAGTAGAAGTATATTGTAGAAGTTAGAGAAGTAGTTGTAGTTGCATGATGAGGGAGAGTAGAAGTATATTGTAGAAGTTAGAGAAGTAGTTGTAGTAGCATGAGGAGGGAGAGTAGAAGTATATTGTAGAAGTTAGAGACGTAGTTGTAGTAACATGAGGACGGAGAGTAGAAGTATATTGTAGAAGTTAGAGAAGTAGTTGTAGTAACATGAGGACGGAGAGTAGAAGTATATTGTAGAAGTTAGAGAAGTAGTTGTAGTTGCATGAGGAGGGAGAGTAGAAGTATATTGTAGAAGTTAGAGAAGTAGTTGCATGAGGAGGGAGAGTAGAAGTATATTGTAGAAGTTAGAGAAGTAGTTGCATGAGGAGGGAGAGTAGAAGTATATTGTAGAAGTTAGAGAAGTAGTTGTAGTAGCATGATGAGGGAGAGTAGAAGTATATTGTAGAAGTTAGAGAAGTAGTTGTAGTTGCATGAGGAGGGGG